GACAGTGGGGTATTTAGGTCCCCCACTACGATAGTGTTTTGGTCTGTTTCTCCCTCTAGTTCTGTTAGTAATTGCTTTACATATTTTGGGGCTCCCTGATTGGGAGCATAGATATTAATAAGTGTAATGTTTTCTTGGTGCATGATTTCCCTTATCATTATGAAGGGTCCCTCAGTATCTTTCTTTATCTTTTTTATTTCGAAGACTATTTCGCCTGATATTAGTATCGCAATTCTCGCTTTTCTCTGAATGCCATTTGCTTGAAATATCATTTTCCACCCTTTGACTTTGAATCTATATTTGTCTTTGGATCTGAGATGTGTCTCCTGGAGGCAGCACGTGGTTGGGTTTTGTTTTTTGATCCATTCTGCAACTCTGTCCTTTTTATTGCTGAGTTCAATTCATTTACATTTAGGGTGATTATTGAAATATGAGGTCTTCTTATAGCCATTTTGTCTTTTGCTTTCTGGTAGCTCGATGTTTCCATTGCTTTCTTGTCCTTGTGTTTCTGTTTTCTTTATTTTGGTTGGTTGCCTAGTGTGTATGTGCATACCAAGAATTTTATTACCATTGGGGTGTTCTTTGGAAGATCTCTAGGCTGGGTCCCTATTCCTTTGTTCCCCCTGTTGCTCATGTCTGACTAGCTACCTAACAATATAACTGGGATAAAGAAATATGTTTGTGGCACACAGCTTATTAAGGAAGTGACTTTTAAAATCTTTGATGTATATCAATATACCATAAACATTTAGCAAAATGCTATAGAAACTTCAACATAGCGAGGATTCAGTAATGTTTTCCAAATGATTTTAAAAATCACTCATACATTAGGAGAGAGGCAATGAGAATGTAAAGCAAGGGGCGGGTAGATGAGCAGAGATTATGGAGATATAATTATTAAAATATGTTTCCTCCCAAATGTCATAGCAATAAAAACTAAGAATTCAAGGTGATTCTTGTTTCAAGCCTTGATAAGTAGAAACAGTATAAAATGTCCTTTTAAACTAAAATGGAGTAGAAATCCCAAAGGAAGGTTTTCTGTCTTGTAAGGTGTGTGCTGAGAAGTCCGAGGATAATCTAATGTGTTTACCTTTATAAGTTACCGTTTTTTTTTTTTCTCCCTGGCTGCCCTGAGACTTCTGTCTTTGCCATTAATTTCTGATAACTTTAATACAATGTGTCTTGGTGAAGGCCTTTTTCGGTTGAGATAATTGGGTGTTCTGTTGTCTTTTTGAATTCCAAACTCGAGCTCATTCCTTAGATTTGAGAAATTCTCATCAACTATTTGTCTGAAAATGCTTTCTAATCCCTGTTCCTTTTCCTCGCCTTCGATAATGCCCATTATTCTTATGTTTCCTCTCCTGAAGGTATCAGCTAATTCTTAAATTTCTCTTTCATTATTTTTCATTCTTCGGTTTCTCTCTTCTTCCTTCTGATTTATTTCTAGATTTCTGTCTTCGATATCACTAATCCTTTCCTCCATTTGATCAACTCTATTTCCAAAGCTTGCTATTTCATTTTTCAACTCTTGCAGTGTGTTCTTCATCTCCAGAAGTTCTATTTGGTTATTATTGAGGGTTTCAATCTCCTTGCTCTGCTCATCTAGTTGTTTTTTCAATTCTTTAAATTGTTGATTTGAGTTCTTTTAGATCTCATTGAGTTTTTTCAGAAGTAAGTACCATCCTGAATTTTCTGTCATTTAAGTCACATATTTCTATGTCTGTAAGCTTATTTTCTGGAGATTTTTCTCTTTCTTTCTGAGATGCCTTGTCACATTGGTGGTTCATGGTGTTTAATGGGCTATTTCTCTGCTAGGGCATTAATGGAAATGTATTCTGCTTTTTTTCCAGAAAGAAGATTTATTATATAAAGGTCTCTCCTTAGCCTGTTGCAAAGCACTTTTCTTTTGTTTTCCAGTGGGTGGCGTCTAAGCCTCTTGGATCCCTGATTTATATAAAGCTTTAAAAATGCATCTTTATTTTCTGATCGATATTTAAACATGCTCACTACTCTCAGTTTCAGGCCCTATCAGTGTTAGCAACAGTTTTGGTAGCATTTGCGCAGATTTCCCTGGGACTCCACAGTGTTCTGTCTCAGAAGGTTTTGGGGGAGGGGCTCTCTGGGTTAGGGGTAGGAGGCTGTGGCTCAGCCTTGGTTTTGCAACCACGGTCAGTAAAAGTCAACTGTTGTTTCTCTGCGGTCCCACCCCCTTCTCTGCTTACTGCCTTGATGACTGAGCCCTGCTGCCAGCTGTGTATAATTCCGGGCACTTCCAGGCTGGGTCGTACAGGGAAGTGGCTGTGCCTTCACCCCTTCCCTTCCTCCTACAGGGAGCTCCGGGGAGCTACGTAAGCAGCTTCTTTATCTCCCAGTCCACCGCCCAACACACAGGGTTCTGACCTGTAGTAGGTTTTATGCGCCGATCCCACATTCAGATGCAGATGTGCTGATGTGCAGTTTGAGTGTTTTTTGCTGAGTTTTAGATGTTCAGCTTATTGTTGTTTCAAGGGGAGAGAACTGGAGACATCTCTCACTCCACCATGTTTTTTCACCTGTCCGCTATTCAATTTTCTATGTGAACTTTCTATTAGGTATCTCATAGAAATAGAATAACTCCTGGCTTATTTCACTCAACATAATGTCTTCAAGGTTTATCCAACATGTAGCATATATCAGAACTTTATTTTCTTTTATGGCTGAATAATATTTCATTGTTTGTATATACGTTTTCTTTATCTATTCATCTTTTGATAGACACTTGGGTTGTTTCCAACTTCTGGATATTCCGAATATGCTTCTCTGAATACTGGCATTTGAGTAACTATTTGAATCTCTGTTTTCAGTTTTGGAGAATATATACCTAAGAGTAGAATTGCTGAGTTATGTGTAATTCTGTTTTTATTTATTTATTTTTTTGAGGAACAGCCATACTGTCTTCAGTGGCACCTGCACCATTTTACATTCCCACCAGTGATGTACAAAGGTTCCAATTTCTCCACCTCTTTCCCAATACTTGTTATTTTCTGTATTTCGATAATAGGCATCTTAATATATATGAAGTGTTAGCTCATTGTCACTTTCATTTCATTCTCATGACTAGCGACTGATTATCTTTTCATGTGCTTGTTGGTCTTTTATGTATTTTTTTCAGAGAAATATCACTTAAATTCTTTGCCTATTTTTAAATTGGGGTTCTTTTTGTTGTTATTTCCGAGGTTCATTATATATTTTGGATAGTAATCCCTTATTAGATAGACAATGTGCATATGTTTTCTCCCATTCTGTGGATTGACTTTTCACTCTACTGATAGTAATCAGTGATAAACAAAAGTTTTTAATTTTGATTAAGTCCAATTTATTTTTTTTTTCTTTTGTTAACTGCGCTTTTAGTATCAAATCCAGGAAATCATTGCAAGATCTAACATCATGTATCTTGTCCTCTATGTTTTCTAAGAGTTTTGTCTTTTAGCTCTTATGTTTAATTCTTGATTCCATTTCAACATAATTTTTGTATATGACTTAATGTAAAGATCAAAGTTTATTTTGTATGTGCATATCCAGTTTTACAAGAACTATTTTTTGAAAAGACTGTCCTTTCCCACTTCAATGTTCCTGTAGACAATTATCTGAACATATTTATTTATTTATTTATTTCTGGGCACTGTATTTTATTCCAGTGGTTTGTGTGTTGTCTTTATGCCAGGACCACTCTGTTGTAATTATTGCAGATTTTGAGTATGTTTTGAAGTCCAAAAGTGTGAGTTCTCTCAACTTAGCTCTTCATTTTCAAGACTGTCTTGGCTAGCCCTAGTCCCTTGAGATTCTATATGAATAATATATTGGATTTTCCTACTTTTGCAAAATGCATATTCAAGATGGTGATAGGGATGGCATTTAACCTGCAGATTGCTTTGTATAGTTTTAACATCTTAACAATATTAAGTCTTACAATTCTATGAACACAAGATCTTTCCATTTATGTCATCTTCAATTTCTTTCAGCAACGTTTTGTAGTTTCCAGTGTCGGAGTCTTTCACCTCCTTGGTTAAGTTTATTCCTAAATATCTTGTTCTTTTTGATGCTACTGTAAATTAAATTGTTTTCCTAATTTCCTTTTTGGATTACTAGTTAATCCAAAAATTGTTTTCCTAATATCCTTTTTGGATTACTAGTTAATCCAAAAAGGAAATTAGGAAATTAGGAAATTAGTTACTAGTTAGTTAATAGAAATGCAATTGATTTTTGCTTCCTGATTTTGTAGCCTGCAACTTTGCTACATCTATTTATTAATTCTTACAAGTATGTGTTTCTCTCTCTCTCTCTCTCTCTCTCTTTCTCTATGTGCATGTGCACATGCTATTCTGTGTGTAAACTTTAGATTTTTCTACTTAAAAGATCATGTCATTTGGAACAGATAGTTTTATTCCTTCCTTCATAATTTCAGTGCTTTTTATATTTTTTCTTGGCTGATTGCTCTAACTGGAACTTCCAATATTATGTTGAACAGAAGTGACAAACACAGATATTTTATCTTGTTCCTGTTCCTGATTTTAAGGGAAATCTTTGTCTTTCACCATTGAGTAGGACGTTAGCTATTGATTTTTCATAAATGGAATTTATTATCTTGAAATTTTCTTCTATTGCAGATAAACTTCTAAATTGTTTTTTAAGCTTTCCTGTATTTTTAATTTTACGTAGAATCACATTGAATCCACAGCTAATTTTGGCAATACACTAATGAAAAGTTTGCTTGCTGTACCACAGACTATTGTTATAAGAAATGTTACTGGACAGGAAGAAAAATGCTGATAACATTGAATTTAAATTTATAATATTTTATACTACTTTTAATAAGAAACATTAATATAATTTATATAAGGAGAATGAAATTATAAGGGGTTTTGTACAAAGGCAAAAAAAATCAAAACCTATGAATTCAGAAGTCTTTAAACTTTATTATTTTCTAATTCTTTTTACTTATTTTTATTTTTTCTGTTTTCCAGAGAATCTCACTCCCAGTGATGAATCACAAGCTAATGACGTTAAGGATTTAGGTATTATTTTGGTTATTAATAACCCGGCATTATGAGATCTTAGAGTTCTACATGGAAATATCATATTTAAATTACCTGTACTTAGAGTAGAAACATTTGTCCCAAATGGGTGATAATTGACATTTGTGCTTATTTAAATAGTGCAGATACCATGACGAATGTAACCAGTTGTAATGTGTAGACACATAGATAATACAGTTTTCAAGAGATGCTCCAAATTAGGATTCCTAGTATGGTGAGGTAACTTTATTAAATATTGTGTTTATATGTAGGTTAAAATATATAAAACATAACTTCCTTTCTATGTGATAATTTTGTGATGGCAATTTATAGGTAAATTTTCTTTTTATTCATACTTTGTATACACAAGCCTTAAAATACTACAAGTGGGGTTAGTGTTTTTCTAGAACATGTTGTTATACCACACTTTATGTAGACTCACAAGGTTCTCCCAGTATATATTAAGAAAATGATAAAGTATAGCTGTATAGTTAAATTAAATATAATATTTCTTGATGAGTAAATGAAAAATATGTATTTTATTTACATTAGACTAATAAGGTAATCTTTTTATAAAATGTGCCTTAGGCTTTTTATGTTTTCCTTCTGAACACTGTGGTTAAACTGTTATTGTGCCAGTTAATCGAGTGTCGTCTTAAGACATTAAACACTTGATAATTTTTTTCTGAAAAGAAAAGAGCAGAGGTAAACATGACACTGTATATTTTGCCATATAAAAATTTCATAAAAATAATGGAAACCTAGAAGCAGAGGTAAAAGTCACCAACATTTCTAAGAATTAAGATTTGGTGGTATTATTTATTGCTCCTTAGATAGTCAAAAATGCATGTTTAAGTTTCTATGCATAGTTTTCATCCATGTGTCCCAGTGTTTCATATACATGCTTAGAATCTCCTTCATAATTAAGACTATGTCTTAATTTTCTTTGGATAGAGAGATAAGGAGGTATTGATAATAAGATAAATATTGTTTGTGAAGATTGCACCTGGGCGATAGATTAAGAGAACTTCATTATGACATTCCACAGACCCACTTTTGGTGAGGAAAGGATACATTAAATTTCTATAAATCATAAGAAATATAGACTGAATACTGGACTAAACCAACTATAATGAGATAATATGTTTTTAAAATGACTTTCCTCTAATCAATGAATTCTAATTGTTCTATTAATAACTTTCACTAAATAACCAAGTGTGGAAACTATAGCACAAAATAATGTTGGACCCTAAGCCTGGAATCGGATTAGAAAGGTTCTATGATCAAAATTACCTAGATGCACTAACAAACAGTGTCACTAAACTGGATTGAGAAACATTTTCTTTGCTATAATTTATACATGATCTGGTCAAAATTAAAATGTAAATGCTATCTGGAGACCCATATATGCTCAATTATATCAAACTGGTTTTATTTTTTCTCAGATGGAGGACTCACTGCTGTGATTGTTCTTACTGTAAGTGCCCCAAACTGTTCTTACTATAAATGTCCCAAACTTGGATACCATTTGAATTAAAATATTACCATGAAGAAGAACATAATTTTTTAAGTGATTTTCAGTTTCTACACATTTTGTAGCTTGAAATTTAGTAAACCCATCTAGAAACATCCAACATCTTAAGTGATAATCACCTTGTATTGACAATTGAATATATTTTATTCTATATGTCCTCTCTGTGACAAATCTTAAATAATACACGTTTTTTGAGATGATTCGTCAGATGAGTTTGCGTCCTAAATATTCTTTGTGTAACTTTCGAAGTTAAGCCATTAGGACTCTTCTCTGATTTTCTGTGGACTGTTTGAGTGAGTTCAGAGTCTTGCCCTTGGCGAAGAACCCAGATGGAATATAAATATATATGTACTTAAATTAAATTACATTTTCTGACTACTGAATTGTAACCATTAATTTCTTCTGCTATATTTTGAATTTTGGTATTAGTTTTTAGAGTTACACATCATTTGTTTCTTGGTTTTCTTGTAGTTGTTGGCGTTGCAGTAGCTGGCATCTACGTGTACTAATTTCTTCTCATCAGGAAGAGAGGGTAAATTAAACATGTTTCTTGAATGTTTTGGTGCTCCTCATACATAACATACATTTTTGAAGCTTTCGTTTGTACTCTGTATTGCATGATGCCTCTTTTAAAAATGTGCCTGTCTGAGTGTGACATCAGAATTGCATGCATTTCTTTGCTAAAAATATTTTCAGTTACTTTTAATATTATTGTCACATGAGTAGTCTGTGCAGAGTTGCATCAGCTA